AGCACATGATGGCTCCCTGCAGCCCGTGAATCATCGCTCTTGCTGAGCAGCGCTGCGCGAGTAGGGCTTGCTTGTATTAGCTACACGATACCTTCTTTGGGGCCATCCTGCAGGTTGCTGAGCCCAGGGAGGAATGAGTGTATCCAGTATCCTGCGGAGCCAGGTCATTAATTCACCTCTGGATCTAGCAGGAGGGAGGCTGGGTTGCCAGCTCCATCTCACTCGAGCATTTGCAGATGCTTTCAGCTCTCCTGTTTCTGCTTCACGATAGCAGCAGGGTGCTCCTTGCTTCGGCGTGCTGGCAAAGCCCCACAGATGATCTCTGGCAGAAGGGGGAACAGCTGGGTCGAGGAATGAGAAGAATTCGGAGATGCTCAGACTTGTGCAGGTGCTGAAATTTTCCTGGAGGAAGTTTTGATGTGGCTTCTGTTTGACAGATGGCAAGGCTGGCTTTCAGTGCTTGTGTTTTGCCCTCCGCTTGGCTCTTTCCTGGGTGGAAGTGAAGATGTTCAGTGTCTTGCCCAGCTGTTTGTTGGAAGGATGATGTTGGAATTTGGAAGCTTGGAAGCAAAAGACAAAGAAAGCCGAGTTACTTGGGAGTGTGGTTCTGAAGAATCGGTGCCCAGTGCAATTCCACTTCGATACCGAGTACCCGTGCAGGAGCAGGTGCTGTGTCTCCCGAGCAGAAGGGGAAGGCAGGCTGTTCGTGGAGCTGCTCGTGCATTCAGAGACACATGAAGACGCCAGGGCAGGAACCAGGGCCTGAGCACCGAGCAGTGGAGAAAGTCAGAGTGGTCCCAACTGCAAAGTGAAGCACCTCTAGGCTGGGGGGCTGGCAGGCTGTGTGGGTGCTGTGGCTCAGCTGGCAGCCAGGAGCTGTTGTGCTGGGTCCTCCACATCCGTGTTTGCCCTTCCAGTTGGTTTGAACCCAACGTAAATGTTTTGGAGGTGCTGAGACTTGCAGCGTGAGTGGCTCGTAAAGGGATGGGAAGGAATTTGGGTCCCTTGCCAGCAGAGGAGAGCAGCACCTGTCCAAAGGCGTGGGAAGGTTTAAGAGCAACCGATCCTAGTTGCCCAGGGATCCGTTCTCCCTGCAGCCGTTAATCTTATCTGAATTGCAAATGCGGAGACAGGGACTTTCCCCACCCCAGCTGCCCGTTAGGGAGTCTTTTGTCTGTGCCTGCTCTGTGCCAAAGAATCCATCCACATGTGGAGCTGATTTATTGTCTGACTTTCACAGTGTCCAGCAAGTTGATTAAAGTCCCTCCCTGCTGCCCTTTGGCTTGGGGAGGGTCCCAAGGGCCAACCATGAAGCGATTGCATTACCTGCAGCCTCCCCTTCTGTCCCTCCGTCACCTTCTCCCCTCCCTTGCTGCTCTGGCTGAGCAGATGCAGTGGTTTCCACAACCAGCTCTGCTTGCTCTGTCTAGAGCTGAAGCTCTTTCAGCTGCGAAGAGCTGGCCGAGGAGGTACGTGGTGTTGTGCAAGCAACTCGGCCAAGGTGCGGGAGCTCGGCAGCGCTGGCCATGGCTGGGTGGCCGCATCTGGCTGCAGAGCAGCAGCAGGGCAAGTTCCTACCGGCTCTCCGGTGCGAGTAGATGCTCCTGGTGCTCGCACAGCTGGAAGTGCTGCCATGCTACGGTCTCCTCGCCACGTGGATGGTGGTTTCAGAGCCTCATGCGGTGTCCGGATGCCCTCGCACACTTCCCTTCCCTCCTGGCTCCTGTTTGGTCTGGGGACTCCTTTATCTGGAGTCAAGTGCAGCGTGAATCTGTATGGCCGTGGCGGTTTGTCACCGACTTTGATGATGGTGAGAACGGGAGAGGAGGAGCTGGCTCTTTAAAACCGGTAACTGCTGGTGTGCCGGGGCAGAGCTCAAGGTCGGCCTCTGGCAGATAGTGCCCGAAGTTGGTGAACGGTGTTACCTGGGAATGCCGTCCTCAGCAGGGGGGGACAGGGACTTGGTGCCTGAGGGGCTGCTCTTGGGGCTGCACGCCCTCTGTGCTGGGAGCAGGAGCCCCGACAGCTCTGGGGAGTCGGGGGGGGGCTCCTCGTCCAGGTGCTGGAGCACCCAGCTGAGGACTCTGCTGCAGATGGTGTTGGGTGCCTTCGCTCGGCGTCTGCTGGGCCAAGTGGGAAAGCTGCTGGAGGTGGCAGCAGGGGACGATACCTGCCGCAGGCAGCTGGGGTGCCAGGAGCCAGCGGGGCTGCTGGCCCCCGGGAAGGAGCTGGTTCCTCCGCAGCCGAGGTGGTGAGGCTGGTGGGTGTCTGGCTGCACCCAGCAATGGTCCCTACCACGCATCCCACTGCTCAGCCTGCGGGACTGGGCTCACTCTTTAGAGGTGCCCCTGTGCTGTCCTCTCCTCTACAAACTAAATAGAACTGTTAAAAACAAACAAAAAACCCCATGACCAGCAAGTAGAAAAATTGCAGCAAGATTAGTAATAACATCTGTGGTAGAGAAGCAATGCCAGCAGCGTGTCAAAACGGAGGAGCCATTCAGCGCACACAAACAGGGCAGAGACTGCTTCCCCCTGCACACTCCTCCATACGGCACTTGGCTGCGAGCTCCAGCCGTGCCCGGGGCTACCGCAGCTGGTCACACTGGGAGGAGAGAGCAGGGATTTGGGAACCAGGATGCTGTGAGGGCCGGGACCTGCTCTGTCCAAACACCACGGGATGCTCAACTGCTCCTAACTGCTGCTCTTTTTCCCTCCACAGGGTTCTGGCATCAGTGATGAGCAATGGGGTATGATGTAGCGCGTTTTCAGGGGGACGTTGATGAAGACCTTATATGCCCCATCTGCAGCGGGGTCCTGGAGGAGCCGGTTCAGGTAGGTTTCCGTCTGAGCACTGACTGTGGCTACTGAAAGCCTCCGATTGCAGCTCCAGACTTCTAGATGTCTTGATCAGATGATGGGCGCCGCACACAGCGTGTGCATTAGGTGAGCTCAATGGATTCTTAAATTTCATATTAATGGTTTAAGGCAACAGCACAGATAAGGAAGCAGCACCAGGGTTAAAAGTCTGCGGTTGTGTGAGTTCTGGTGGAAATGAACTAAAACTCTGGGTTTTGGGGGTGTCCTGGCATCAGCAAGGTGACGGGAGGAAGGGGTAAGCTTGTATTGGGATGGGTTTCCCTTACCCTTTCATTTCTTAACCCCTTCTTAATTGTACCAAAGCTCAGTGCAGCTGCATACCAGTGATGGTGTCCCACGGCAGAGATGGCAGCAGCTATGCTAAAATCTGTCCCTTGCTTACAGCTTCATGCTTGGTTGACCCTCTCTGCTTCCCTGCACGCACGCTTCCTCCATGCTACAGAGCTGATCTGTTTTACTTCCTGTTGGGAGCCTGGCTCGGCTCTTCTGCTCCTCTCCTGCCACCGAACATAGCTCGGAGGATGGACAGACCACAGCCCTGGTACCAGCACACTGCTCTGCCTAGGCCCGGCACGGCCGGGTGGTTTGGTAGATCCTCTGGCTTGCTCTGCAGCTTCTGCAGCCGCTCGGGGCAGGAGAGGGTACACGGGGAGCTGCTGCTTCCGCTCCTCCCTCCGCTTCCCGCGAAGCAGCGGAAGGGCTGTTGGACGGGGCTTTCCTGTGAGCTCTGTTGTTAGCAGCTCTCCCAGCGCAGCGTCCCTCCGGAGCATGGCGTGGTCTCCTGCCCTCCTGTGCCTCTCGGTAGCGGAATGGCCGTGTTTGTCACTGTGTCCTGCGAAGCCCTCTTACCTGAGGAGAGGTTAACGGGGCTTTTGGCCCCCTCGCCAGTGCTGACCAGAGCGGAGCGCTGCTGGCTGAGTGGATCTGGCTTCTACATGGGACTTTGTGTCCCCCCATCCCTTCCCTTCAGGGTCTGTGTGCCACCGGGGGTGTTCCTACACTGGCCGAGCTGTGGCCATGTGCTGGGTAGCTCGGTACCCTCTGCATAAATCCAACTTCTTTTGAAATAAAAAGGATTAGCTCAGTTTTATTTTAATCTGAAATGTGTGCATAATTATTGCAGTTTCATTGCTTAATAATGAACAGCATCACAAAGGCTGTGATTTGTGCTGTGCTGGTAAGCTGCCCGACAGGGATCCTGGAGAGGCTGGGGCTGTGTGCTGTAGCCCTCCCGGCACCCTTGGGCTGGAGGTGTGTGGAACTGCAATCTATTGTAGTTAAAATTGTATCGGCACCTTCCAGGTACACTAATCTGTTACGTCAAGCAAGCTTTCATTTTTAAAAAAAAGTCTGTTGACATGTGAACACGATCACAGGCCATCACATAAACCAGAGGGAAAGTTGCAGCTTTCTTAAGCAGGTTTATTTAAATCTCCTTTTGAGAATGTGATATCACAAACTCCCTTGTTCCCAGGCTTTTCTCAAGCCTCTTTAACAGCCTGGCTGTTGGACACCATCCCTCCTGCTCCTGCCAGCACCGCAGTAACTGGAGCTGCCATCAGGCTTAGTTTGAAGGGAGCGAATTTCCGAGTTCTGTTTCCTTGTTCTGCCTTTCCAGTGGAGTCCCTCTGCCTGATCAAAGCAGGGACACCTCCAGTGATATCTTGGAGGGCTCAGGGCTGTATCCAGCCCCAAGATTTTAATACCTCCAAGGGTGGAGATTCCCCAGCGCCCATCCTTGTGTTATGGGCATGGAGTGACCCTCTGTCCTCAGTACCAGTGAAACTGGTTTGATTTGTTGTCTGTCATATCTCCAGTCTGCATTTAGTGATGCTGGGGCATCCTGGTCGCTAAATCTCAGTGGGGCTGGGCGTGGGCTTGAGAGGATAAAATGCTGCAAGGGGAGAAGAGGGGTCAGCTCTCTGGAGGGCCATGGAGAGCCAAAGCCTTGGAGATCAGGGCTTCAGGAAAACACAAAGGAGAGGAGTGGCTGTCCAGAGCCCGGCATGTGCTGCTGCCTTGTCTGACGCTGTGCTGGGCCGGTTGGCTCGAGCTGCCTTGCCACAAGGGCTGCACTAAAACTCCCAAGATGGTCCTGTGGCTTGAATGGGTGAATCCTAATTCAGCCTACATCCTACAATCATCATCTGCGTTTGTCGGCTGGTACAAGGCAGCCTGCAAGGCACTGTGCGCTGAGGGAACAGCTTGTAAATGAGACTTAGCCCCCAATATGTCTGACCTTCCTGTAATTCTGGGTTTCTGCTCTGTGGAAGAAAGCTCAGTGTTGTCCGAAGAGCTGGCATCTGTCCCGCT